TATGTGAAAAGTGTTTTGTAATTGTGTTCATAGAGTTCCTGAGTTTGTTTCAGGAGGTAAACTCCTAAAATTTTATAATGTGTACAGTAAGTTTAAATGGAATTTCTCTTTCTATCTCTTGCTGTTGGCCTTTGTTGGTGATATATAGAAATGCCAGTGATTTATGTGGCTTTATTTTATAGCCTGCAACTTTGCTAAAGTAGTTTATTATTTCAAGTAGATTTTTTACTTGATTCTCTGGGATTCTCTAAGTATAGCATCATGTCATCTGCAAAGAGTGATAGCTTTGTTTCTTCTTTGCCTATTCTAATACCTTCAATGTCTTTTTCTTCTCTTATTGCTAAAGCTAATGTTTCCTGTATGATATTGAACAACAGTGCTGATAATGGACATCTTTGTTTTACCCCCGATCTTATTGGAAATGTTTCTAGCTTGTCCCCATTATATATGATGCTTGCTGAAGGTTTTAGGTAGGTACTTTTAATTATTTTAAGGAAGACTCCATTTATTCCTATGCTCTCTAGTGTTTTTAATAGGAATGGATGTTTAAGAAGGATTTTAAAAGGAGGTTTCAGGGGAAAGATTCAGCAAAAACTATTAGCCCATCAACCAGTCTGACAGTGTTCAGGATGCCTCACCTGCAGTCCTACCATCTGCATTTTTTCAACTCTTCTCCAAAACCCATTTTTGTCATTATAATCACACAGCATTCATTTCATTTTATTCTTTCTGTTTACGTCATTGTAGCCATGTTTTATTTTCTTAGTTCTTCTTGCTAATTATTTGCATGTTGTCTTTCCTATTAGAGTATGAATTCCTTGAGCACAGGGACCATTACCTTTCTTTGTATCCCCAGCACTTAGCACAGTGTAACATAGTGCATTTAATAAATGCTTATTGACTAACTTTACTCAGTATCAGTTCATATCAGTCTTCCCATGGTTTTCTTCATTCCTCATATTCATCATTTTTTACAAGTGTAGTAGTATTCCACTACATGTTTGTACCACAGTTTCCTTATTCCCCAGGAGATGAAAACTTATTTTTCCAGTTCTTTGATATCACAGAAAGTGCTCTTATGAATACTTTGATATGTAAAGGATCTAACCTTTCTGTTTTTGGTGTCCTTAAGGTGTAGATGACAACCTGGGACCTCTAGATGAGAGGGTATGGACCTTTTGGTCATTTTCTTAGCATAATTCCAAATTGCTTTCCAGAATAGTAGGACAGCTCCACCATCTCTGTGTTAGTGTCTCATACAGTTGCAATTCAGTAGGAAAATTTATAGTAGTCTGAAATGTTATCACTTAATTCGCTTTTTCCAACTTTTAGGAAATGATAATTTTACACATTTATTAACCTAAAGCTATTTGTTTCTCTAGGTGAGCTTGTCAAACCTTTTACTCCAGAGAAAGCAAAAGAAATTATAATGTCTTTGAGACAACCAGCAGTCTTCTGCAACATGGTTTTTGATTGGCCAGCCCAACACTGGAATGCCAAATGTCTTTCCAAGCTCTTGTGTGGAAAGCAGATACGATTTAGAATGGGAGTGAAAAAAACGGATACAGGTAGGACTCCAAGTAGATAAAATATTTATAATGACACTTTAATATCATTTCCACTTTCTCAGTAGTGGTTTTTGTGTTCCTAGAGAAATATTAACCTCTTTTCTTCTGTTCGTCCATTTGTATTACAGACATAAGAAGTTTATTGGAGGTTTTGGTTAAAATGTTTGTAGCTATAAATTTTTTCGTTTTTATAACCAATACATATTTCCATAAGCCAGCCAGTATTATTCTTTATAAAAAAAACTTGTACATGTTTTATATACATGTATTGCTGTATTTTACTTAAAGATGTTCCTGAAGATACTAATATAATGGTACAAAAAGATTATACATTTCATGCATTCAGTAAATTTTTCTTTGATGCTTTCTGCATAGGTGAGTTCAGGAAAGTCACTTCATTTTTCTGAGCATCAGTTTCCCCATAGATAAAAAAGAAGAGATTGGACTAGATAGTTTCTGAGGTTCTTTCCAGTTCTAAGTCATAGAATCTAAATTGTTCTTTCAGCTGTGGATTCATTGTCTAAAGAATCTTCTAGATAGACTATTTTGTGATTCTGTATACAGTACCTGACCTTGGATGTGATTCTTCCCTCTTTGCCCGAAGAGGCAAACTTGACGTGTACTTGTTTGTAATAAAACCTGTAAGTATTTAATTAGCTGTCTCTCATATACAACTCTTGGAATCCCTGATTTTCTTCCAAGATTGGTCAGAAACACCTGATACTTGAAGCCTTTCTTAGTTCTCCTGGCAGGATACTGCTCTCCTTCCCTCGTTCTGGCCACCTACACTGCTCAACAGTCATTTTGCTTCCTTGCCCTGGAGGACTTCCTTTTTTTTTTTTTTTTGTAAATTTTTTTTATTTTTAACATGTGTTTTTAAAACTTTGGGTTACCTCCCTCCCCACCCACCCTCATTGAAAAGGCAAGCATCTTGATACAGGTTATAGATGTGTAGTCATGCAAAACACTTCCATAGTAGTCATGTTGTGAAAAATTTAAGTTTATTTCCCTTCATCCTATCCTACCTGCCATTTATTCTATTCTCTCTTTTGACCCTGTCCCTCCTCAAAAGTGTTTGCTTCTGATTATCCCCTCCCCCAATCTGCCCTCCCCTCTATCAATCCCCTGCTCTCTTGTCCCCTTCTCCCCTTATTTTCCTGTAGGGTAAGATAAATTTCCATACCCGATTGCGTTTGTTATTCCCTCCTTAAGCCAAATCCTGAGAATAAGATTCACTCATTCCCTCTCACCTTCCCCCATGTCCCCTGCACTGTAAAAGCCTTTTCCTGTCTGTTTCAAGTGAGATAATTTACCCCATTCTACTTTTCCCTTTCTTCTTCTCCCAGTGTAATCCTCTCTCACCCCTTAATTTTATTTTCCAGATATCACCCCTTCATCTTCAACTCACCCTGTGCTCTCTATGTATCTATCTATCTATACATACATACATATAATTTTTTTCCCTCCTATTACCCTAATACTGACAAAGGACTCAAGAGTTACAAATATCATCTTTCCATGCAGGAATGTAAACAGTTCAACCTTAATAAGTCTCTTATGATTTCTCTTTTTTGTTTACCCCTTCCATGTTTCACTTGAGTCTTGTATTTGAAAGTCAGATTTTATGTTCAGCTCTGGTCTTTTCCTTAGAAATACTTGAAAGTTCCCTATTTCATTGAATGACCATTTTTCCCCCTGAAGGATTATACTCTGTTTTGCTGGGTAGGTGATTCTTGGTTATAATCCTATCTCCTTTGCCCTCCAGAATATCATACTCCATGCCCTCCGGACCCTTAATGTAGAAACTGCTAAATCTTGTGTTATCCTGATTGTGGTTCCACAATATTTGAATTGTTTCTTTCTGGCTGCCTGCAATATTTTCTCCTTGACCTGGGAATTCTGGAATTTGGCTACAATATTCCTAGGAGTTTTCTTTTGGGGATCTCCTTCAGGAAGTGATTGGTGAATTCTTTCAATTTCTATTTTGCCCTCTGGTTCTAAAATATCAGGGCAGTTTTCCTTGATAATTTCTTGAAAGATGATGTCTAGGCTCTTTTTTTTGATCTTGGCTTTCAGATAGTCCAATAATTTTTAAATTCTCTCTCCTGGATCTATTTTCCAGGTCAGTTGTTTTTCCAATGAGATACTTCACATTCTTTTCTTTTTTTATTCTTTTGGATTAGTTTTACAGTGCCTTGATTTCTCATATAGTCACTGGCTTCCAGTTGCTCCATTCTAATTTTTTAAGGAAGTATTTTCTAAGTAAGCTTTTGAACTTTCTGTTCCATTTGGCCAATTTTGCTTTTTAGGGCATTCTCCTCATTGGCTTTTTGGATCTCTTTTGCCATTTGGGTTACGCTATTTTTTAAGGTGTTATTTTCTTCAGGTTTTTTTTGGGTCTTCTTCAGCATCACTCTCAGTTTTTCCTCTACTTCTCTTACTTGCTTCTCAAAATTCTTTTTGAGCTCTTCCTTGGCCTGGGACCAATTCATATTTTTCTTGGAGGCTTTGGATGTAGGAGCTTTGGCTTCGTTGTGTTCTTCTGGTTGTATGTTTTGATCTTCTTTGTCACCAAAGTAAGATAATATAGTCTGACTCTTTTTGTGCTGCTTGCTCATGATCCCGGTCAATTACTTGAGTTATAAACTCTTTGTTAAGGTAGGGGTCTGTTTCCAGTATGGAGAATATACTGTCCCAAGCTTTAGTGGTTTTGTGCAGCTGTTTTCAGAGATACTTCTAGGGCCCTGTAAATTTTCGGTTCTTCCAAGGTGGTATGATCAAGGGCGAGGTGTTTACTCGTTTCCTGGCCTGTGCTTTCCTTTGTGAGTGACCACAAGCACTCTTTTCTGTCTTAGAACTGTGAGGAGGACTTCCTCTCCACAGCACCTACAAGCTCCACCACGCCAGTGCTCTTCCTCGTCCCAGGACCGCCACCCAGAACTGTGACCCAGATCCAAGTATGGGCAAAGCAAGAGAATCCTGCATCAGCAGAGAGATCCCTGCAGTCCCCCTCTGATCAGCCACTTGATTCCCCCTCAGTCTGTGGGCTAGAAGCTCATGAAGCAGCTGCTACCCTGGAGCCAAGCTCAGGGAATGGAGCTGGGACCCCACCCTTCTCTCACTGCAGAAACAGACTTTTCCTACTGACCTTCTAAGTTGTCTTTGGCATTCATGGATTGAGAAGTCTGGAAACCACCACAGCTGCCAGCAATTCAGTTCTCTGAGGCCTGCTCCAGGTTTACTGTGGCCTGCACACCCACGCTGAACTGCGTTCCTCTCCCAGCCCGGTGTGACATGCCTTTCTGATCAACTATCCAGGTTGTCTTGGGCTGGAAATTTGTTTCACTTTGTCTTTTTGTGGGTTCTGCTGCTTTAGAATTTGTTTAGAATCATTTTTTATAGGTATTTGGAGGGCTTTGGGGGAGAGCTCAATCAAGTCACTGCTTTCATTCCACCATTTTGGCTCTGCCTACCCCACTCCTCCCTCCCCCACCCCCTGGAGGACTTCCTACAGCCTCTTAGTGTAGCAGATAGAGTTCTGGGCCTGAGTTAGGAAGACCTGAGTTCGAATGCAGCCTCTAGGTGTGTGACCCAAGCAAGTCACTTAGCCTCTGATTGTTTCAGTTTCCCTATCTGCCAAATGGGGACAAAATTAATAGCTTCTACCTCCCATGGTTGTTGTGAGGATCAAATGAATTAATAATTACAAAGTGCATTGCAGCCCTTAAGGTGCTACTGTGATGCCACCTTCCTGAAGATCCATTCCATCCAGTCTTAGAACCTCTTCCAGGCACCTACAATTCCACAGTTGCCTCACTCTTCCCTGATTTCTGGCTACACACTGCTGCCTCATATCCTGAGACAAGCCCTATGGACAGTAACTTACCTGAATTCCTTCTTCAGTGACAAAAAGTCAATTCTACTATATAACACATTACGTGTGTTCCCAGAAAGCACTGTAAAAACCACAAGGTTTGTGGGGAAGCTGGAGTTGGGACACATTACTCAAAAATCCACCAGTGACACACAGAAAATATATAATACATATTTTACACTTAGTATATATTCTGGGATCCATGGACAATGGCCTTCTTGCTTTTCCTTGCATGTGACATTCCATCTTCCTACCCCTGGCACTTTCACAAGTTGTCCCCTCCGCCTGGAACTCTCCCCTTACCTCTGCCTCCTGGCTTCCCTTCAGTCTCAGCTGGAGAGCCATCTTCTGCCAGAAAACCCCCCTCAATTCTAGTGCCTTCTCTCTGAGGTTATTTCAACTTATCCTGAATATATCTTGTTTGCACAGAGATATTGGCATGTTGTCTCTCTTGTTAGACTATGAACTCCTCAAGGAGAGGCATTGTTTTTTGCCTTAGTGTCCTCAGATTTTGGCTTATTGCCTGACTCCCAAAACTACTTTCTCTTGTATTTACACATGTGTTTATATATCCATGTGTGTATATGTAATATACATAAAATGTCTGTCCTTACAGGGTTTCCCAAAAATCTCAGTTCACTTTTAAGCTTAAATAACTTGAGAATGCTACAAACTTAACAACATTTGAAAGGTTAATTATTTAAAATTTTATAATACTGATTTTTTTTTTACTGAAATTCAGCATGCCTACCATTTTGTGGCTTAAATCACTCTAGTCAATTTTTGAACTTTGTGAAAAATTTCATCAGCTGCTGTTCAGTGACTGAAAGGATTGTGTTTGTAAATCTAGTCTTAAGATTATCAAGGGAACAAGGTTTTGAAGCATACATGATAGTTTTTGGGGACCTCCTCAAGAAAAGGTCTAGTGAAAAACAGATCATGTGACTAGGTGGCTTAAGCACATGGACCTCCTCCACCAATCCACTGGTTTGAGAAATTGTCTTCCAGAAACTCACACTTGTAGTGCATGATGACAAAATGACTTATCTTTTTAAAAAATTTAAAATTATTGTTCAAAATTCACAAAACTACTTGTGAGAGAATTTTAAATAATTTAATTTCCAAATTTTTTTAGGGTAGGTTTGTAACATTCATATCTCTGAATATCTCTGAAGTTAATAATGCTTACAGTGACACCAAGACTTTTGAGAAGTGTGTGTGTGTGTGTGTGTGTTTGTGTGTTTGTGTGTTTTAAAGTCAGGTTTTATCTTTGTATCTCAATTTAGTACAGGTCCAGGTACTTAGTAAACATGTAACAAATATTTGTTAATTGATTGTGTCCATAATCCTTTTAAAGAGCCAACCTTTGGATATTTACTCTTCATCCATAAGTATCTTTTAAACTTTTCTTTTCTTTTTTTTTCTTATTAACTTTCAGTATGAGGGATTGTGGTACTCATTACTCAAAGCAGTGGTTAACTTCTGATTTGTTTTTATTTGACTTTGTAATGCCTTTTTATACTAATTAAAGTATTTCTCATATTCTAGGACTTATATGCAGTATGTGAAGCTGTGTGTTATAAACCCAACCCCCAATGCCCAGCTTTTCTTGCCAACACTTACTGTTTCCTAGGATGGACTAGGATGACACCTTAAACAAAGTTTTCTTCTCTCCATAAACTTGTAGCTGAGGAGGCAGCTGGTAGAGGGGGGAAAGAATAGCTCTGGTGATAGAGGACCTGAGTTCAAATCCCACCCGTGATGCTTTCTTCCTATATAACCTCCCTATGTCACAGTTTCCTCAGTTGTAGAAAGGGCAGTTGGGAATGGAGAGGAAGAAGAGGCAGAGTTGGTCTAGATAGCCACTGAGGTCCCTTCTGAATCTATATCAGAGTTGAGAGAAGCACCTTAGAGATGTCTGATTTAGAGAAGTTAAGTGGATTCCCTGGAATGTAGCTCCCCAGGGAGATTATTCAGCCCTTTGTTTAGACAGATATCCTATTAATAGGTCTTTGTGAAGAAAAAAGTGAAGATTTAGACAGTAGTACAAATAGATAAGTAACTTTCAGTTTGAGTTTAAGACTTTTCATCTAGTCTTATACTCTCAGTCAGTGACTAAAGCATTGATTTTTTTTCCTTCAAAATTCACACTTCCGCTGGTGTGCCTGGATTATTTTTGTAGACATTCACATAGCCTTACTGTAGTAACAGTTTTTATTGCTTACTTACTTCTTTCAACCTTGAGTCCATCTCTGTTTCTCGGCAATGTTTTTCCAGTATTCTTCAAAAATATCACTCTCATCAGATTAGTTTCCTCCCTGCCCCACAAACACACCATGTACATTGCATTGTCTTCATTCTTTATGTTATCCTTACCTGGAATCTCTTTTCCTTTCTCTGCCTCAGATAGAAACACGACACCATCTTTCAAGGGGTCCTTTCACTCCACTATCTAAATTTTTATTCTGTTCTCCTGCTCTAAATTCTTAGGGCATTTGTATCACATAATTTGGTGTGATATTATACCTATTCTAGAATCTTTGCCATCATTTTGTTTGTGTTATTCTTGTCAGCTAAAGTAAGTGGGAAACTCCTTGGACATTGAGACTATGTATATTCCCTCAAAGTATTTGTCACAGTGTTGTGTAGATAGATACCCAGGAAATGTTGGTTGGTTACAGATAATTTGTTCTTGGATAATTGAAAATTTAATATACCTTAGAGGTCTTTCCACTATCTCTTCATGTGTTCTGGTTGTTGAAACAGGATAGTTTATTGTTCCCTTTTCTTTTCACTTGATTCTTTGCAGGGCCCAGGGAAAAAAAATAACAGCATATGAGCACATGAAGCACCTCATATGCTTAACCTAAATAGTCAGTTGTCAGCTGCTAATGGTGAGTTTGAACCTTTTCTCTTTATTACCACCAGAAAGTCCTTATGATTTTGGAACTCTTAAGTCTTAACACTGGTATTTCTCCATCTGTGAGTATTATTCTCCCAGCCTTACCCCTAGGCATATTATTTGACCATGTTAAAAGTAATATCTCTTAATTGCTATAACTTTATCATTTTTAGATTAAATATCAGACAGGAATTAATATAAAGTTTGTCTCATCCTTTTAAAAAATTACTGAAGCATGTATTTATACATGGTAAGAGTTACTAGATATCTTAAAGAATAATGTGAATTTCATCTCCTGTAGTTTAAATGTTCATACTCATGCTCTCTAAGTTAAAATGCCTAAAATTCTCTGCTATTATATGAGAAACTTCAAGTTCCTTTTATAGAAATGGTCATTCTTGATTTAGGAAGTAAGATCATGACTTTTAAAGCTGGAAATAGCCAACCTGTGATACATAAACACTTTTAGGTAATTTATGAGTCAATTTCTTTAGCCTAGTAGATGCACTTAATGGTAATTATCAAAGATCAGTGTGCAGTATTGAATTGTAGCATATTGTAGAAAGAACCCAGAACTATAGCATGCCCATATTTTATTTTCTTTGCATTTGACTATTCTGTTTTTGACTGGAAGAGTAATTTCCAGAAGCTTTTTCACAGACTCAGAAACATGCTTATTTATAAGCTGCCAAATACCAAACTTAGCTGAATTTCCTCTTAAATAGCAAATTTGACAGCCAGCTAGGTAAAGGTAGCGACTGCCTAAACTGCGTTAGTGAAAAATGACAGAACATTAATGATAAAGTTTGAAAGGAAAGAGTTTATGTGCCTAAAATAAAATTTTTAAAAATATGCAGTCTGAAATTGTTGTGATAGAAAAATCAGAACAATGAGAAATAAATGTCAGTTACAACTGCCACAAAGAAAGAATGAAAGAATTCACTTTACAAGTAGCTGAGTTACAAGGTTTCTGATCACATCATTCATTCCTTTGTATGGTAGTGTTGGGCTAGGTAGTGTGTCCAATGTGAGTAAAAGGAAGGAAAAGCACCAAGGAGCCTGTCATATTGAAACTCTGGGAAATGAGGTAGCAGTACAGGTGGATTTACTATCTATGTGAAGGCTTCAGTGAATGAGGGATGGAGTGGGAATGGGGGGTGGTGAGAGGCACAAAACCATGACAATGGTAACGGTCAAGGCAGCATAGCCCTCTTACCACTCCATGGATCTGTGATGTCATTGATTTCTATGTTCCTTACATCTATGCCTGCCCATCCTGAGCAGCTGTTGTCCATTTCCTCCCATAGCAGTCCCCACATCAAAATACATCAATAGTTAATTAAAAGGCTCATAACTATTATGATACAGCCGTTAAGAGTTAAAAGTAAAACATTTCTATGTGTTGAGATATAATATGTGTTGAGTGATATGAATAATAACACTATTATACTAATATCAGTAGTATGGTTGTTTTATCTTCATGCTCCCTTAACATTTTGTAATCTTATCTTTGGGTACCTCTCTCTTTGAGGAGACAGTTAGCTAGGGGATAAACAATACCAGCATTGACACCAGAACAATAAAGCATTGACATCTACTTGCCTATTAATGTCAAGAAATATCAGCAATCTAAGTGGTAGAGCAGTTTTAAAGTCTTTGGAAAAAGAGATTTCTATACATTTGCCACACACAGCAGTGAATAACCATTGGAATCAGGTATATGACCCTACACAACAGCTATGTATGTGTCTCTTGGTCAGGAGCCAATCATGTGGGGCGTGTGTGTGTGTGTGTGTGTGTGTGTGTGTGTGTGTTTTGGTCAGCGAGCTATCTGTGGGAATTTCTAGGAGGAATAAGTACTTAACGTGCTTTGAACTACTCAAGTCATGAGGAAAATATGTATCTTAATCAGACAGGGGACATTTGTCTTTTTTTTTTTTTGAGCGGAGAAGAGGGGTTGAAGTGGGGAGAATAATCAGTACCATTAAAGAAGAAAGGGGTAGGACTGTATAAATAACAAAAAGCATTTATTAAACCTTTACTATGTGCCTGGCACTCTGCTAAGTTTTGGGACACAAATATAGAAGGAAGACAGTCTCTGCCCTCAAGGTGCATACTTCTACTAGGGGAAGAGAGTACATATAGGAGAATGGTGACCAAGGAAAGGAGTTGTGGTCTGGGACATCACAGGGATATGAGATGGATAGAGCAGCAGTGAGGGAAGCAGTGGGTTGACACTTTTTCCAGGGGCCATGGTAGGATTTATTTGATCTCTGTTGCCAGAACAAAAGGTAGAAACCAAAGTTGAAGGCAGATGGCAAGAAGGTGATTAGAATAGCCAACTGGAATGGGATAGGACATGTGCTCTGGGGTTGGCTAGATAGAGGATTCAGGGCAATTGTATGGTTTAATACCCTGCCCTCTCAGTAGCCAATAAATAGTGATTTTAATATGCACTTGGCTTTGGTAGGTGAATTTTTTGTTTTGCATTTGGCAAGATTTGCTGTAACAGAAAAGGAATATTGTGGGTTAGCCAAAAATAGGGTAGCTGCAATGCAGGCTTTTCTAGGATAACTGAGGTTGACTGACAAATGGTGCTCCATTAGCCCTAGGGGCAAGTTGTTCTATTAATAGGTTTGAGTGCTCACTTGGGGCTGAATTCTGTGGAGTGAAAACACATCAATATTTGTTAATATTGCCAGGCTTATGGAAATGATTACCCAACACATGATAAGTTGTTTTTCTGTTTTTTTTTTTTAAAGTGACATGTTATTAAACTACTTTACCACCTATGGTTTGTTTTTGTTGTTTTTAAATGACCAGAGATATATGTAGCTTCTGGATAAAAGTAACTCTAGTACAAAGATTCTTAACCTAGGGTCCTTGAAATTTTTTTAAAAATAGCTTGATAACTGATTTTCAATATAATTGGTTTCCTTGATAATCCTGTGTTATATTTCACGAATTTAAAAACATTCTGAGAAGGCATCTCAAGACTTCACCAGACTAACAAAGCAGTTCATAACACACAAAAGTTAAACCCTGCAAATAAAAGTTTTCATGAGCTTTTCATGAGCAGCAAGTCTTAAGGTGAGCAAGAACAGAAGTTAAGATGTCTCCTTGTCTCATCACCCCCCCCCCCCCCCCCCCCCGTTTCTCCCGTGTGTTGCCTTTTGGGGAATAGGAAAGGGGCAAAAGGAAAAGCAAATAGAAAGGCTGGTTTGATAATTTGGGAGAACTGTTCCAGGGCAATTTCCTTAAAAAAGAAGGCACAGAATAAAAATGAACCAAACGAGAGCTTCTCCTTGCCTTCCTCCTTCCAAATCCTGAGCAGCACAACCTAGACCTAGAGACCTAGAGAGGACTGGCTCTAGGGTCTGCTTAACTTAGAAAGGTCTCCACAGGAATACCTGAGGAAATGTTTAAATGAATAGACATTTTTTCGATGAAAATGAAGGTGTTTATGATGTAAAAGGAGATTCTTAATTGGATCTCATTAAAGATAAGAAAAAATATTTAAAAGTGTGTCTAACAGCCAGTTTTTTGTTTTTGCCCTCTCTACAAATATACCTCATTAATATAAGAAAGTAAACATATTTATAGATTTAGAACTGGAAGGGACCTTCAGAGAACATCTAGTCCAGTCCCCTCCTTTTTTACAGTTGAGGAAATGTTAGTCTCAAGTGAGGAGCAGCAGCCAAGTAAGAGAGAAGGGGCCCTGGGATTGAAACCTCACTGAGACTTCCTGCCTGTGACTTTTGAGCAAGTCACTCACTCTCTGAGCCCCAGTTTCCACCTTGATAAAAGAAAAAGAACAAGGAAAATGCATTATAACCTTGAAATACTATAGAAATCAGCATTTTCTATGGCTAGGCCTTCAACAACAAGCTGTACTCCCCAAAAAGATAAAAAGAAGGTGATTATTTTTTTTAGAAGGGTCCATGATCTGATGCTTTAAAAATCAGCTTCTCAAGGGACAGCATGGAGTAGTGGATCAAGAACTCTACTCAGGAATCTAGAAGACCTGGGTTCAAGTCCAGCCTCCAACCCACTGGCTTCATGACCTTGGATAAGTCACTTATGTGACTTTAAGTGTTTCAGTCAACTCTGTAAACCTAGACATTGCAAAGGAGGTGCTGATCTGCATTGGAGAAGGGGTTATTTATGGGGAGCTCCCTACACACATGAAATCACTGTTCTGGTCAAAAATAAATATCAGCTTTCCCTGGCACATTTATTTTCAGGGGGTTCACACAGCTTTTCCCGAGCATGTATACTATCTGTTGTATAAAGTGAAGCATTCCTGTGTAACACTTTATTGTGAAAAGATCATAATCATAACAACAACAGCAATAGCCTGCATTTGTATAGCATTTTTCAGCTGTGTCCATACATGTCATGGCTTCTAACAGGATATCATAGGAGTGGAGTACAGGCTGTTTGTTTGTTTGTTTGTTTGTTTTTGTGGTAGGCAATGGGGTTAAGTGACTTGCCCAGGGTCACACAGCTAGTAAGTGTTATGTATCTGAGGCCAAATTTGAACTCAGGTCTCCTGACTCCAGGGCCAGTTCTCTATCCACTGCACCACCTAGCTGCCCCCGGAGTGGAGTACAGGTAATGTGGAAGAGACTGCTTGTTAGGCAGTTGTCTCTCTTCCTAGAACTACACGTAAATATATCCACAGTCAGGGGTATCATCTCTGAAAACTAAGGGCAGTGATAGACATACACCAGGACTATTTGTCAGATGCATTTGATTTATTCAGTGCATATCTAGTGTTATTTGAGTTATTAGCCAGTCATTCTATAAGTTTGTATAAGAGCTTTATTTTGCATAAACGTTATTGGATCCTTTAGCAAAATAAGAACCCCAGTCTGTTGATAAGGGACTAGGAATAAGTATGATTAGATAGTCTTTTCTAGGTATTGGAGCTTGGGTGGGGGGAGGGGGAAGAAGAAGGCTCTTAATTATTTGATTACTTATAGAGCCATTTATCACCTTGCAAAAATAGTGAAGTTAGATGGCTTGTGATATCATAATGCCCTGTGGTCATCTCATTCATTTCTAGGCAAGGAAACTATCTCTTGCCCTAGAGATGTCTTTTCCCTTTCAGAAGATCTATGATAGTTCATGTTTTAAATTTATTTCAGTTAATATTTACAGTGTGCCCCTAAAGGTTAAATGGTATAACACTTGCTGCTTTGCAGTTAAGGTTCAGAACAAAAGACCAGGTTAAGGGAGGAATAAATATGGGGACAGACATACATTTATTTAATACTGTGTTAAAAGCCTCCTTAGAATACATAAGAATACAGTATCTAACAGGGTGTTACAATAATAAACTGGATCAAGTAGCAGTTTGTCCAGCTCAATATTCTGTTTTCTGACAGAGGAGAATTTAATAGATGCCCTCCACAATACCACCTCAATAAATTAGAAATACATGCAGAGCGTCTTTAGTGATGTGTTACAGATCTTATATAGCTTTTGTGTAATTTCCATATGTTTACTACCCACTATGTAATAATAATAATAAAAAAAAAACAAAAACACAGCGTCAACAACAAACCCTTACTGAATCAGAGTAAATGGAGGGAAGGCCAGTCTGAATTAAATAATATTTTAAAGAAATGGAGTCTTACTACTTTGAAGTCTGTTTTATACCTTGAACTATTAACAAGGTCCCATAGGACCTCCTCTAATGAGTATTTAAGACACATTTGTATGAACAGCATTCATTTTCATTCATTGTGTTAAAGTTCTAAGTAGGTTAAACATGCTCCTTTTAAACTATTAATTTATTTTTAAAGACCACTTCTTCATAGATTAAGCAAAATCAAATTTTCCACCTAGGTCATATTATCACCAATTCTGAAATGGTTGGCTATGAGTTCTGGAGATATTAATGTCACAGGATCATAGAATATAAAATATGAATGGACTTCAGAAATTCTCTTCTCCAACTTTCCCGCTTACTCATTAGGAAATTAAGTCCCAGAAAAGTAAATTGATGTATTGAATTTCACACAGCTGTTAAGTAGCTGGGATTTGAACCTAGTCCTTCTTGACTTAATTTTTAAATAATAAATAATAATTTTTTAAATTTATTTTCAAATAAATAAATAAATTTAAAAACAAATAATAAATTAATAAATGATAAATATTTAAATAATAAATAAATAATAATTTTGGAATAATTTTAAATAATTTTTAAAAATAAATAAAAATAAAATTTTAAATCATTTTTAAATAATAAATTTTTTAACAAATTAATTTTTAAATAAAAAATTTTAAATAATAAATGTTGATACTTTTTGCTTTTATATCACAATCTTTTTTGAATATACCATCCCACCACTACCTTATAATAAATAACAAGAATTACTAAACAACAAATAAATACAGGATCATATCTGACAGCATATGCAACTTTCTGTATCCATAGTCCCTTCCTGCACTCTTCCAGGAGAGAAATATGTTTCCTCATCTACTCTCAGGCACCCAAATTTTCCCTCTTATGGTAATGTTCCCAATAACACCATGTTTTCCCTTTTATTTTCCTTAAGATTCAAGGATAACTCTCCCCTCATCCCTTTTCCGCAAGTTCTGATACTTTAGAATTAGAAAAACAAGTCTAATTTCATTCTATCACATGAGAATTTAATAGACTTGGGTTACATTCCTTCTGAGACTTCATTTTTCCAGACAAAAATGTGTGTTTTGTACAGAAGTCACTGCATTTCCTTCAACATTTTGATTATCTTTCACTGAATCCTCCCCAGCTCAATGGAGCTGTGTTTGTCCGTGTTTGAGATGTAGCACATAGAAGTATCAGTGCATTTACTGTCTTGAATCTTAAGCAAAAAAGCAAAGCATGGCAATTTGTGATTAATCATTAATGTTTTGGTATGGACTATTCTGCTGTGCTGTCATTTTACTTTTATTTTAATAAAGAAGCTACTGTCTGGTAGCTTCTTCATAGAAAGCTACAATTGTAATTGTTGGAATCAACTTCCCTTTTTATTCTTGGAATGGGTGTTTGGTATACATTTAGCCCTATTTTCATTTATGTTGCAGTTCCTCAGTTTGAAACAATGTGCAGTTATGTAAATGCTACACTTGAGGAATTTCTGGCCTGGAGCTGTGGCCAAGGTGTTAGCATTGCTGGGCCTTTTAGCCATTATGATAATTCCAAGTTCTGGGCTTATGCTGACTACAAATATCTCGCCAGTGTGTTTGAAGATAATACAGATGTTTTACAGGTAAGGCATTATCATTATTTTTCATCTGGATAATAATTTGACCTTAAGAAAAATTTAAAAGCCTTAAAAACTCCTTAAAAGTCAAAATCCTTTGCAGGCAGTTTTACCCTCTTTCTTTACACATCTTCCTTCTCAAATGCCGTAGTTTAAAATGTTTAATGTTTTATGAAACCAAGTTAATAGTATTGATAGAGTGAAGACAGTGGAACATAATTTATACAAGAATATCAATGTTATTTTATTTTCAGTTCCAAATGCCCTTTTCCCCCTCCGTTACCTATTGAGAAGGCTAGAAAAACAAAACCCATTACAAATATGTACAGTCATGCAAAACAAATTTCCTAGTAATTACAGAAAGAAGAAGATAGGCTTCATTCTGCACATTTGAGGCTATCAGCTTTCTCTCTGCAGGTGGGTAGCATGTCTCACCATGAGTCCTTCGGAATTGTGGTTAGTCATTGTGGTGATCAGAGTTTCCAAGAAAAAATTTTGAAAAGTTTAAGAACTTTGACCAGTGCATTGACCAAACATGTTTCCAGAGGACCTATTATAAAGCACATTAATCCTCCTCCTGACAGACAAGTGATGGATGGGAGGTACAAAAAAAGAGATACATTTTTGGACATGGCCACTATGTAGATTCATATTGCTTGACTTTGCCTAAGAAGCGATTTACCCAGAAACATACATATCCCCTGTATGCCCCAGGGAGAAGGTGTGAGGGACTGTACTACAGTGGGGAGACTAGCCTCTTTCTTTTGGACTTGGACTTTGAAATGTAGTTTTCTTTCAGAACAATGACAAGTGGTTATTGTTGGCTTGTTGGAATTCCTTATTTTAGTACTTTATAAAGTTCATAGGTTTAGTGGGCTTCTGTGGGTTGACCTAGCCACCTGACCACCATGTCCAACTTCATTTATAAGGGACAGTGCCTCTGGAGTTCCAAACAGCAGACTTTCAAATGAACTAACTTTTGTAATGCAACTCATCAAGTAATTGGTTGATGGATTCATTGATTGTAACTTATTTTCTCTAAAACAGAATGTAGTATGGTCTGACTTTGGTTTTCCTGGAAGAAATGGAAGAGAAAGCACATTGTGGATTGGCTCACTGGGAGCCAACACACCCTGCCATTTGGATTCCTATGGTTGTAACTTAGTACTCCAGGTACAAGGAAGGTAACCAAGAATGTCTTTGTGAAGACAGCATAATGTAGCACAGTAATTTCCAAACTGTTTTCAAGGAGCATTGGTATTCCCAATAAGGGTTCCATGAGGATAAAAATAGTCTTAATTCCTTGCCTCCTTTTATTCCCTCAGCCTGAGAAGGGAAGGGAAGGAAATAAGCATTTATATAGTGCCTACTCTGTGCCAGGCACTGTGCCTTAGTGCCTTTTACAAAGATGATCTCATTTGATCACAACATCACACAAGACCTAGCAAGTTTCTGCTGTAAACAAGAGGCAATATTGGACTATAATATTCTGAGAGGCAAAAAATAGGGGCTTACAGTCAATAATAATTTATCCTGCAAGGTTGAGTATAATCCTACGAGGGGAAGAAAATAGACCTTTAGTAGAATGTAAGATTTTCAAGCATATTTGACAAAAAGACCAGAACTGAGTAGGAACTCTAAGATAAAAACCTGAGACCAAAGAAACCTGAAAAGATAAATTTATCTGAGTAATTGGCAGGAAAAGAAACCATAGCCCCAGACCTGTCTTCAAACATTTGTGAGCCGTTAGTATATTGTAAGCCCCAAAGTGTTCTATGGCCAGAATATTGGTCAAAACACTGATGTACTCATCTTCTCTCCCCCTTTCCCACATAATATATGTTCTTTCTCACTTTAATGAAGCCAATTAATAGGTGACATTATGGCAACATTATTATTTGAACCTTAGAATTAATCAAGCCTACAAGCTTCTGTCTACCTATTTCTCCCACTGCCCTATTTACTAGTAAACATTTTTAGTTTAATTAAATTTGTTAAACTAGTTTAACATTTTTCCTTCTGCTGCCCCTCCTCTGTCATTGAGAACTACCACTTACCAAGGTGACAATCCTTTTCCCTACTACATCTTTTTTTTTCTTTTTTTATTAATTTATTTTGATTTATCAACCATCACTTACATAAGCTTTTGAGTTTTAAATTTTCTCCCCCTCCCCCCTACCTCCCTCCCTAAGATGGTGTGCAATCTGATATAGGCTATACATATACATTCCTCTTAAACATATTTTCACATTAGTGATGTTGTGTTCCCTATTACATCTTATTCTTTTCTTACGCATCTCAGCTCTATGCTTCCCCAGTCCTATCCTACCTTTTACCTGCTGTTTCTTCCCTATACTTATTTTATGTAATTCTGTATTTCTTTGAATTCTTTGTATTTGTTATCTCTTATGACATAATGTTCCAGTTCATTGAAATTCCATCATTTACTCATCTATTTCCCACATTTTAAGCACTTTGTTGGTTTCTAGTTTGGGGAGGGATTTTTTTTGTTTGCTGTTACAGCTGATTCTATTAGAAATACTTCCTACCGCTAATATTGCTGTCCTTTTGCTGAACATTGCTGTACATTGTTGATCTCTTCCTCATCTCGTTGGAGTAGGAGGAGTAGTAGTAGTGGTAGTGGTAGTGGTGGTGGTAGTAAGTTGTAACTAACATTTATGTAGTGCTTTAAAGTTTACAGAGCACTTTGAGGTAGGTGCCATCATTATCCCCATTTTATAGGTTAGTAAATTGTACCTCACAGAGGTAGGTGATTTGCCTAGGGTCGCACAGCTTATAAGTAGTACCTGAAGTGGAATTCAAACCCGTCTCAACCTGACTATAGTCAAGTACACTATCTTTGCTGCACTGAAGATATCACTCCCCTTTACATCCTTCTGTGCTGAACATTCCTTTTCTCATATTCTCACAACTCTTAGAACTAGGAAGAATAGCCAGCATACTCAATGTTGCCCTGGATTAGAATGAGAAAACTTGGGTCAGAATCATAACTCTGTCATTTATTACCAGTGTGACCTTGGGCAAGTTACTTAACCTGACTGGTCCCCCCAAATGAGGGAGTTGGAATAGATGATTGCTAAGTTACATCCTTATTTTAAATCTTTGGCCTGTGATCCTTATTTCATTGCCTCTTGTAGACCCTTGCTCTGCCACTATCACTCAACAACTTTTCCTTTGAAGTCTGTTCCATGTGATTAAGTCACCCATACCTGATCCTTTTCATTACCACCTACCATTCTCCAGGATACTCTTCTGTCCTCAGTGACTTAAATACTTGGCTTGCCTTTTTCTCCACCTTAATTCATCATTCTCAGTGACTCCAAGTTGATGACTTTCCTATTGCTTTGGCTTTGGGATCCTTGCACATCCTCACTCTTGGCGTTACCCTCCCCAGCTGGACCTCATCTGTTCATAGGAGTGACATACCCTGGACCTCACCATTATCCTGAGTCACCAACTGCCGTTATCTTCAATTATGAAATTCTCCTCTCAGCAAAATCTCTTGCCTTTTTAATGTCCTCACTACCACCAAACTTTATTTCTTTCCCTCATTTTGACCTTAGAATCCTCAATCTTGTTATCCTAATCTGTCAACCTTGTTGTGGCTGCACCTTTATCTTTATACAGTCCTGACCCATGAGTCAGAAGTTTCAGCAGCATGGCATCTCCATTCCTGAAATCCCTTGTGTCCTCCTTCCACTATTCTTGATAATCCTATGTCCTGGGTAACCCATGCTATTTACCTTCTCCATTCCCCTGAGTCGCTGAGCACTGAAGGACATTACAAATTGGTGCTGACTCATTCATCTATAAGAAACAACTAACATTCAAATAGTACTTTAGAGTTTGCAAAGTGCTTTCCTCACAATAACCTTGTGAGGTAGGTAATAGCAGTACCATTAGTGGCAGGGTGGCATATGCAGTGGAAAGAATCCTGGATGCAGAGCCATAGGCCTGCATTCAAAGCATGGCTCTGCCACTTAGTATTTGTGTGACCTTGACCATATCACTTACTGTCTTTGGGCCTCAGTTTGCAAAACTGTAAAATTACAGACTGCATGATCTCCAAGGTCCCTTCCTATTCTAAATATATGATTCCATGGCCCGTATTTTACTGATGGTTAAGCTGAGGCATAGGGAAGTTTAGTCACTTGTCAATGGTCCTATAGTGATCAAGTGATAGAGTTTAGAATTGAGGCTTCAAGGTCTTTCCCAAGTCCAGCACTGTGTCTGCTATCACACTCATCTTACACAAAAATAAGCTCTCTAATTTCAGCCAGATCCTCTTGTATGGTTATATGGCAGTCATAGTTCACTTCTGGTTATCTAGATGCCTCACACATCACTGCAGCATTTCCATGTTTCTGCAAGTCCTCCAGCTCCACAGTCATTGACTTTCTATAAGCAGTTGACCTTAATTCCTACTTTACTGAGAAGAATAAAGCCATCTGTCCTGAGCTCCCTTATCTCTTCTCCTCCATACCTCTCCCTTGTTCTCTTCCATCTAATTACATGTTTTTTTTTAATTTAATGTAATTTCTAATTGTATGTTTTTTCTATTAACAAGCATTTACTTTCTCCCCCTCTCAACTCTGCCCCCAAGAAAAACAAACTCTTTGTAACAAATTCAAGCAAATTCCTACATTGTGGTCATATCCAAAAATGTGAGTCTTGTTCTGCATTTACAATCCATCATCCTTCTGTCAGGAAGTGGGGAACATTTTTCATCATTGGTCTTCTAGAATCATGGTTGGTGATTGCATTGATCAGTTATTAAGTCTATCAAAGTTTACCTTTACAATGTTGTCATTATTGCATAGATTATTCTCCTGGTTGTGCTCATTTCACTCTGCATTAGTTCATACAAGATTTCCCAGGTTTCTCTTCATTTTTTTCTTATAGCACCATAGGATTCCACTACATTCACATAGTATAATTTGTTTAGTCATTTTCCAATTGATGGTCACCCTCTTTAGTTCTAGGTCTTGCAAACCCCCCCCCCCCAAAAAAAAGACTAAATATTTTTGTGAAATCTTTTCCCTCTTTCTTTGATTTCTTTGGGTCGTAGTCCTGCTAGTGATACTAGTGGGTCCCGGGGTATGCAAAGTAAGTTTTGGCTAATAGTTCCAAATTACTTTCCAAACAGCCATACCAATTTACATTTCTTATCCAGACTTATGCCTAATACTTATACTCTTAATCCTTTGTCTTCCTACTTTCTCAAGGACCTTGCTCCATTCATCATCCTCACTTTTGTTCTCCTTTTACCCTTAAACATGCTCAGGTCTCCCTCATCCTACACATAAAGTTTCTGTTCACTTGCTCAGACCATCCATCTGTCTTAGAATCTTTTAATTGCTTAACATCTAGCAAAAACTAGTCTATACTCACTGCTTCTTTCTTATTACCCTCATCTTTCTGAAATCTGTCACCACCACACTATTCTGTCTAATCAGTGACCCAGGTGAGAAATCTTAAGACCTTTTCTCATTCTTCATTCTGCCTCTCCTTTTTGAAGTATTTTTTAAGAGAGTATCAAGGAGAAGAGGGTAATCCACCAGTGTCAGGGACTGCAGAGAATCCTGAGGATTGAGGAAAGGCCAGTATATTTGGCGAGTAAGAGATCATTAGTAACATAATATAGACAAAAAAGAAAATTCAAAAGGTGAAAAGAAAACAATGATCATAAATGTGTGTGTATTCTTAAAAGAAAAAAAATGATGTCTATGTTAACTTTGTGAAGGTAGTAAAATAGTTCTTTTGTGTGTTTATTATTATTCATGCCAGTGATGACTTAATTTACACAGATGTCAGTGTGTTCCTTTGGTTCTGCTTTCTGTACTCAATTTTTGTAAGTCTGTGTTTCTTTGAATTCTTTGTATTTGTTATCTCTTATCACACAATATTCCAGGTCAGTGAAATGACCTAATTTATTCATATGTTCTCCACATGTTGGACTCTTAGTTTGTTTCTAGCTTTTTGGGGTTTTTTTGTTTGCTATTACAGCTGGTTTTACTAGAAATATTTCCTACCAATAATATTGCTGTCCTTTTTTTAATTAAGAAAAAAAATAATGACATCTGAAGGGGTAAAAACATTTCTCAGTTATTAGACTTTTCTTTCTTTTTCCTTTAACAAGTATTTATGAAATGCCCACCATGAAGAAGACATCTGCTTATTGATCTGTTGACATCAGGCTGCCAATCTATTGCAAATAAATACACTTTGAAATTTGAAATAAGTGTTTGTAGAGTCAAATCTCTTGGCTTAGTTTCTTGAGCAAAGATGGAGAAATGATTAGAGCTGTCAGGTTTAGCTTCATGTTTAGTTAAATCTGTCTTCATCTCTAAGTACAAAGATAAGACTAGTATCTTTTGCATGTCAGAAGGATATTGATAATCATGTAAATTGAGGGAAAACTCAAAGATCCAGAAGTAAGCTACTAAAATTCAGGTACTCTTGTAATATACAAAGTCTTATAATGGAACACTATAATAGTGTATTTCTAAAACCAAAGCTGTAACTTCAGTCATCGATCAGAGTCCTTCACAATTTTATGGGTAAATAAACCTTTATTTCAGATAATTTACTTTGAAGTTTGAAAAGCAAAGCAAAGGTAGATATTTTAACTATTTGCTTTTGGGTTTGGGGGGTAGGGAAGACAGATTGTGACTGTGGTATAAAAAAAATTCACTAATTTTTTTGAGAGAACTTTTTAAAAATTCTTTTTAAAAATTTAAAAATTCTCAGGCTATGCATGAGAATGCTAAATAGAGTGCTGGACTTGTTAGGAAGACCTAGGTTGGGCTTGTACTTGTGTTACTAGTGTGACCTTGAACAAGTCATTTAATCTGTGAAGCTCAGTTCCCTTATCTATAAAATGAAAATAGTAATTCCAGTGCTATCTGCTCTGTGCTGTTGCGGCTCAAGTGAGGTGCACTGTGTCACATTCTTTAAAGCACTCATATATTAGTTATTATTACAGCTCTGATAGCTACATCCCCATTGGTTACAACATCAGTAGCTTAATATTGACCCTCTTGTCCCAGAGTCTCAAGCCTTTTCATTCTTCTACTCTGTCCTTATCTCCTAGTTTCTTTTCTGTGAACAGCAGAGTTAAAGGAGATGTTTAACACTGAAATACACCACTTCAGAGTGAAATGAGCACCTCATCATTCTTCTCCCTCGTCTCTCTCACTACAATTTATTTTCCTTTTTCCTTCCTGCATCTGTCCTGCTCTTCACTCTAATTTCCTTCTTAATTAATTTAATTAACCATAATCTAGTGTTTGTTTGAATAGTTCAATCAAAAAAATTAAAAGTGAATATACTAATTTAATGTTTTTCTTCAATAGTTAGCCCCTATTTCTGTTTTGAAGGCAGTGTACATATTCATTGCTTAAATGACATTCACTTAAAAGATTCTTAACTTGGGAAATTCATGACCAGCATAATCAAACTTTTAGAAACCATGTCATAGTTGGCATGGTTGAAAGTGCTGATTGCATTTAACCTGAAAGAGAGAAGCTTGAAGGCATATCTGCTAATTATCTTTGAATATTTGAAAAGCTATCATGTTGTAGAACAGAGAGTAGACTCAGTCCATAGGACAGAACAGGGTGCAGTGGATGAAAGTCACAAGGATATAGACTTCAGCTCAGTGGGAGATAGAACTGTGTAAAAATTAAAGTCTACCAACAATAGAAAGGCATCCAATATAGGCTAGATGTAGTATAGAGAGAATTTCTGCAGTTTGGTTACCTTTAAGGTCCCTTTCAACTCTAAAAGTTTATGATTCTTTGAACTGAATTTATTTTACTTGAATTTTAATTAATTCAATTAATTAATGACTGTTACCTTACATTGTCTGTTATCTAGTACATAGAGTATTAACCATCATCTTTTTTTTCCCCCGGTTAGGAAAAGATGGCATCTCTTCCCTCCTGAAGATACTGCTTTTCTTTATCCAACCAGAATCCCCTATGAAGAATCTAGTGTTTTCAGCAAAGTCAATGTTGTCAATCCTGATTTAAAACACTTTCCTCAGTTTCTGAAAGCTCAAAGGCATATGGTTACACTGTACCCAGGACAGGTAATCCTTTCATTTAAAAGGGAAAGAAAAGATGACATTCCTTCTCATCCCTACATCCTTACCTCTTGTAAGCTGAAGGCCTTTCCTCCTTTTCATGAGGCCTGCCCTTTTTCCTTCAGAGAAACATGTGTCTTCTGACAGTGTATTGGAAATGGGCTGAGGGAAGAGAATTTTGTTCCTGAGACTGAGGAGTGAGCAAAGATTAGCCTCTAAGAGCTCGCTGTGGCTCTTGGGCCCACTTCAGGCTCTCAGAATGTCCGCATAATAATTTCTTCAGATAAGGGTTAGACAGGAAAGAATGCAATGAGAGTTTGGACCAATGAGTGTTGGTTGACCCATGAGGCAAATCAGATAAAATTTTAGGGCATCTCAATGACTGAGGTACTTAGGTGGGCATCATGGATCTGTATGATGGACTGAGTTCAAATCCTGCATGAGCATTTACTGGCTTTGTGACTTTTTTTTTTTTTTTTTTGGTTAGGCAATGGGGTTAAGTGACTTGCCCAGGGTCACACAGCTAGTAAGTGTTATGTGTCTGAGGTCACATTTGAACTCAAGTACTCCTGAATCCAGGGCTGGTGCTCTATCCACTGTGCCACCTAGCTGCCCCCAGGCTTTGTGACTCTTGGGAAGCCAGTTTAGCTTCTTTCAATTTCTTCATCTCTAAAATGTAGATAATAATAGCACCTACCTCAGTTAGGTACAATTACCTTCCACAGGGTTGTTTTGAGAATCAAATGAGACAATGAAGACGGCAATGTTGATAGCTAGTATTTAGATAATGCTTTTAGGTTTACAAAGCATTTTCCAAATATTATAGGTGCTGTGATGTATAAAGTTCTTTGCAAACCTTTAAAGCACTATGTAAAGGCAAGTAGTTATTTTGTTGTTATTAAAATGAACCTGGTTGTGAACAATTGCCAAAAGTGAAATGGATATCTGAATTATCTTCAAATAAAGTGTATTATATTATTATATTATATTATATTGTATAATATTGTGTCATATCATATATCATATTAAATTATATAACTTATAGTTCATTTCTCTAACTATAGTTTTTTTTAAAAATACATTGTTATTTGCCTTCTGGTATTTGATTACTGGTTATGAAAGTTTTTGTGGCCTCCTATTAGTTGCCTTTTTTCTTGAAAAGCTGTTCTGAAAACCCCTAAAGAAATGTAATTGTTGGGGCAGCTAGGTGGCACAGTGGATAAAGCACTGTCCCTGGAATCAGGAGGACCTGAGTTCAAGTCTGGCCTCAGACATATAATACTTCCTAGCATTATGTAGAATCCATCGACCCCATCACTGTCAGTATAAACTCGTGGATTGAACTGGTATTCTTCTTTTTGCTTTTGTGAATGAAAATAATTTCTTTAGGGTCAGTATAGAATATGTAAAAATAAAGTGAATGTTACTGATGTTTTAACAGACATCCTATATAGATGAATGAGGATTGATCGATCCCTTCAAAACAATCACCTGAAAAGTTACGCACTTAATCAATGCTGCCATTACTCAGAATGTTCTTGGAGTTCTCTTAGAATCACTCTCTGCCAGTAGTTAACTCTGGGCAAGTCACTTAACTCCAGTTGCCTCACTGAAAAAAAAAAAGCAATATAATTGTTACAAATGTTACTTTTCAGTTCTTATTTGTTCCCAGACACTGGTGATAATTGAAGTTGCCGAGAACCAGTAGATTATAAAGTATATACTTTATACGTAGGCCTGTGAAGCAGAAACTGACTTTAAGTCTCTTTAGATAAAGAAGGAATAGCTTTTCCTTTAGATAAGAATAAGCTTTACAGTTGAGCTGTTTACCAGATTTATAATAAAAGTACAAAATATTTCATTTCAAATATGCAGCTGAAGTAAAACCTTCTGAAGAGATCACAAATTTTTGAAAATAGTTCTCCAGAGTTTATGATATTCAACTACTATTTGACATTCTTGTGTCTCTGGGTACATACATGTGCGTTGTCAAATGTAAACATTAGTTTAGATGCAAAAGAAGAGTTGGGGGAATGTATCATAGATTGACCTATTCACATTCTATCAGAAAAAGATAAAAATGAAAAATACCTTATTTGCATCAAAAGTTGATCTCTTGGGACTACTGGATCCATTAACAACAAGCAAAAAGAATTTCTAAGCCAAGGTCTCTATGTTGACTACACCTCTCTCCGTATTCCTAGTACACAGCCACAGGGTTTTGTTCGTGCCCTGAGATGTGACTGTTTTTATATTTTTATATTTATTCATGTTGTCTGATCTGATCCTTAGCCTATATCCTTGGATCCCCGGCCCAATAAACTGCCCTTGCTAACCTTAGTTATCCACATAGTAAGAGAATATTCCTTTCAGGAGCTAAGATAAAAATCTTCTACTCTTTAAACTCAAAGAAATTCTCTGTCATATTACTACAAAGTAATGTTTCATAATTAAATCTGGATAAAAAAAGTAAATTGTTTAATTTTAAGAGCTTACAAATAGGTAGTCTTCTCTCTTAAAACTCTCTCTTGTCCTCCCCAACCCCAGGGTGGCAGGTATCCTTCCTTTCCAGTGATAACCCTGTCACCTGTGTTCTTAATTTCTGTCTCCCCTCTCTGGGAGCTTCCACATCCTTCTTTAGTATTTTAAATCTTCCCTTCTCCTCTGCCTTCTAGAAAAGGATGAATAGGGTTGGAGACAGGGAGAGATGATTGGATAAGTTTCCCCTATCTTGAAAAAGTCTTTATTTAACCTTGTTGTCTCCCTCTAGCTGCTCTCCCATTTTTCTCCCTTTTATTGCCATATTCACATTAATAGTCTTCATCTGTTCCTTTCATTTGCTCACTGCCAACTGACTCCTGTAGTCTTAACTTCCCACCTTTCTCCTGAAATAACACATAAAAGTCATCACTGAGCTCATCATCAAGTCCGGGGCCTTTTTTAAGTCTTTGTTTTCTTTGCCTACTTGGCAGAATATTTTACTGCAAACTCTCTCCTTTCCCCTCTAACCTTCCTCCTCAATCTTCATGACACCATACACTCAAGTTCTTCTGCCCCTTTTTCCTTTAGCTTATTTTTCTTCTCACTCTCTGACAATGTTTGACAAGGCCCTACGTAGACTCAACCTTCTGTTTTCTGTGTTGTACTCTATCCCTTCAAAGTCCTTTCTGCCATCCTTTAAATCTCAGCTTGTCTAAAATAGAACTTATCACTTCCCCATCTCCAGTTATCTGAATCATACCCATTCTTTAAGGAATATAGTTGTCTTTAATCACTCCTCTATGAAACATTTCCTAATTTCTCCAGTTTTAGTACCTATTCCTTTGGCCTCTGATTTTTTTTTTTAGCAACCTGAGTTAAGTCCCTGCTCCTAAATATTAAAAATGAAATGTCTTACTAATATACTAACAGCTGTTTTTCTTATTTTCAGGTCTTGTTTGTTCCCAGACACTGGTGGCATTATGTAGAATCCATCGACCCCATCACTGTCAGTATAAACTCGTGGATTGAACTGGTATTCTTCTTTTTGCTTTTGTGAATGAAAATAATTTCTTTAGGGTCAGTGTAGAATATGTAAAAATAAAGTGAATGTTACTGATGTTTTAACAGACAACCTATATAGATGAATGAGGATTGATCAATCCCTTCAAAACAATCACCTGAAAAGTTATGCACTTAATCAATGCTGCCATTACTCAGAACATTCTTGGAGTCCTCTTAGAATTGCTTTTAGAGCCAGTAGCATATTCTTTTGAAGATCCACCCTGTCAAGTCATCTTGCAAATCATTTTCTTTGAATTTATGCAAATCCATATGTGAGTATGTGGAGTACAGTACCAGTCATAGGAAGAAAGAGATGTTGGGGCAGATGCTATGGACCAACCTGATTTAGGTCAGGTAGGGAGGCCTCATGAGGTTGATGGAATTGGAATAGTTTTGAATGAGGAGAACTAGGTTTCCCTAGAAGGATAAGGAGCACTGTTCTAGGAAAATAAGACTGCTTTAGAGAAATTGGATTTGCATAATAGAGGATAGTTGAAGGCACAGAATGAGGGCTCAGAAGGGAGTTCCAGAAGGGATTCCAGTCTCCCAACTCAGTACAGAAATCACATCCACACCATAACTGATATATTTAATAAATCAGGCCATTCCATTTGGGGGTAGCTGCAATAGAATCTGAGTCTTACCAGTACCTGATCAGGTGTCCTTATGCTGACAGCCCCAACAAGTGGTCATCCACTTCTGTTTGAACATCACCGAGGAGGAAGACCCATAACCTCCCAGGCAGCCCTTTCACTTTTAAGCAACTCTAATTGTGTATGTGTGTGTGTGTGTGTGTGTGTGTGTGTGAGTGAGAGAGAGAGAGAGAAAATTTCCTTGCTTGAAGCCTTAATCTGCCTTTCACAACTTCTACCTATCATTCTAGTTCTGCCCTTTAAGCTGAGGCAGAACAAGTTTCATCCCTCTTCTATATGATAGCCTTTAAAAAACTTGCAGACTGTTATGGCCCCCTGAAAGTCTTTACTTCTTCAGGCTAAACATCCGGTCTTCATGTGACAAGTTGACTTACTTAAGTTTGTCTAATTTTCTCTGAAATCTACTTCAGATGTGGTCTGTCCTTGCTTTTATACACTGATTTTCTTTTCTTGCAGCATAAGATAATATGAATTTTTTTGGCTGTTCTGTCAAATTGCTAACTCATGTTAAGCTTGTAGTCCTCTAAAGTGTTATCTTTTTCATCAGAATTGGTTCATCTCAAGTACTGACCAGCCTGTACTTGTGAAGTTGATTTTTTGAACCCAAGTAAAGAACTTTACATCTGTCTCTATTAAATGCAATATTCACATATTGTGCCCAACACTAGGCTTTCAAGATCCTTTTGGATCCTAATTCTATCATCGAAAGTTTTTTACCCCCTGCTTTCCTGTTGTTTGCAAATTTAACATGTTCCATCTGTGATTTCAAGCAAGTAAAAATTTTGAACAGCTCAGGTGATAGGAGCCACTGGAGTTTATTGAGTGAGATGACAGACTTGCACTTTAGGAAGTCATTTTGAGAACTGAATTGAGTGGGGGAAGACTTGAGGAAGGCAGATCCACTAATACGCTATTGCAGTAATCCAGATGTGAGGTGAGGAGGGCCTATGCCCAAGTGGTGGCAGCGTCTGAGGAGAGATGGGGACATATCCAAGAGATGGTACAAAGGTGAAGTCAAGCCTTAGCAATAGATTGGATATGGGGTGTGAGAGATAGTAAGCAGTCCAGGATGACTCCTAGTTTGCAAGCCTAAGAACTCGGAGGATAGTGATACCTTGAACAGTTAGTAGGGAAGTTTGGAAGGGAGGTGGTTTTTGGTGGAAGTGGGGGGGGGTGCGTTGGAAGTGTGAGGGAGGTGGAATAATGAGTTCAGATTTTGTCATATTTAGTTTAAATTGTCTACTGCACATCCAGTCCAAGAAGTCTGATAGGCAGATGAAGATGTGAAACTGGAGGTCAGCAGAGACTAAGCCTGGATAAGTAGATTTGAGAATCATTAGCATAGAGATGATAATCGAATTTTTGGGAGCTGATGAGATTACCTAGAGAAATAATATAGAGGGAGAAAAGAAGAGGACCCAGGAAAGCCCTGTGGGACACCCACAGTTAGTGGATATGTCCTAGATGAAGATCCAGGAAAAGAGCCTGAAAAGGAGTGGTCAGATGATAGGTAGGAGAACTAAAAGGAAAGAGTGTTTCAAAAACCTGGAGAAGAGAATATCAAGGAGAAGAGGTTAATTGACAGTATTAGAGGCTTCAGAGAAGTCAAGAAGGGTGAGGATTGAGGAAAGGCCATTGATTTTGGCAGTTAAGATATTGGTAACTTTAAAGATAAGAGTTTCAGGAGAATGATGCAGTCAGAAGTTAGGCTGTGGAGAGAGAACAGGAGGTGGAAGCACCAGTTGTGAATGGCCTTCTTAGGTTTATCCACAAAAGGTCAAAGAAATATAGGGCAATAGTAGGGATGGAAGGATCAAGTGAGGGTGGGAGAGAGACATGAGCATTTTTGTAGGCAGTATGGAAGCAGTCAATAGATTGAAAATAAATGAGAGAGGAAGCAGTCTGCTATAGGAAAACAGGATGGAATGAGATCTCTTGTGCAGGCAGCTTCTTGTTGGTCAGAATTGGATCCAGAAATGCAGTTCTTCCTATTGTTTCCTCAGTTTTTCAGAGGAAAAAAACATCATTAAAGAAGCTTACAAATTTATTAGCTGCTCTGTTTCAAGCAAAGGGGCCTTTAGCAGATGTCCACATCATTAAATTTCCCCTTTTAATACAATATCATGCTTCTGTACCAGGTTTATGAACTGTTTCCCAAATTCCTCACTTAATTCCCTCTTCTATTTAGGTTGAAGGTAGTATGACCCCATAGGATTCTCTATTACCATCCATTAAATCTTCCCAATTCTCTCTACTCTGTTTCCTTATCATATTCCTAGACTTCCTAAAATGACTGTATCTTCTTAATATACAAGAATGCTCTACCCCCTTCCCTTCTTATCTGTTCTATTCCTTTTGAATCAAGAATATCCCCTTCTGGACACTTACTTCTGTCATGAGTCTTTGAAGCCAAATTTTCCTCTTTATACTAGTTTACCTTGTACATTTTCATGTAGACATGAGTCCTTGGGTTTTGTAGTTGGTTTTCTTCTTGGATATTGTCACCCATGAATCCTCTGGTGCTCTTTTTTTCCTGTGATGTACCTGCTGATTTTTGTGACATCAGTTTTCTCAGATCTATGTGCACAGCCTTCTCATTTGCTCTATTTTTAAGCCCTCTCTAATTAGATTAACAATATCCTAGGCAAATACACTTTTGTTAGCTCTTGTTAGCTATACTCCATCCCCAGCCCCCATAATTCCTATGTTCACCACCGTGGTTCAGGACTTTGAATCTCATTCTCAGCCACTGTCTTAACAGCCAACTATCTGCTCTCCAGATCTGCCTCTTCTTAGTTCACCTGCTTTCATTCAACAGCCGAACTGAGCTTTAGTACTACAGATGACATTTTTATGGCACTGTGCCACGCTCTTTTATTCATCCCGTTACTCTTGCTTTTCATCTCCTTTTTGTTTCATGAATTCACTTGGCATCCATATCAGTCTTTTCAGACAAATACCATTTTTCCCACGTGATTATTTCTTGGAATACACATATAGATAGTTCTGAATTCCTCTCTGTGGAAAGAGCTTGACATTTATTAAGTAACTCTAAATGTTAATTGGTCCATCTTCCCTTCCTTCTCTACATCATTTTCTTCTGCACTCCAAGTGAAAATTTCCCTCTGCCTCTTTATATCCTTTTTCTTTATTTTTTCTTCCCCCCCCCCCTTCTGTGAATATTAACCTTGGAATCATCATTGATTCCTAACTCTCCCTCACTTCCCATATCTTATCAGTTGGCAAGGTCTCCTCACTTCAGCCTCCACAAATCTCTCAGATCAGTCTTGCTTTCTCCACACTAGACTCTACCCTTGTCGTCCCCTCTTTCCTAGGCTATTGCAGTAAGCTCCTAATTGATCTCTTTGCCTCTACTCTGTTTACTTTCCATTACTTCCAGTAATCCATCCGTCATACCACTGAGCAGCTCTCTTGCTCAGAAAACCCTCCTGCCTTTCTGATGCCTTGAGGATAAAATACAAATTCCTCTGACTTTTAAGCTCTTCACAGTCTGGTTACAACCTGTCTTTCCATATTGATTTCACATGACTCTTCCTCACACCCTCAGTGATGGCAAATTGACCTACCTGCTGTTCCCCAGACACAGCCTTCTGTCTCTCAACTCTGCTTTTGCACAGCCTGCCTCTGTGGTGGAATCCTCTCCTCTCCTTCCTTGCTCCCACCTCTTGGAATCCCTGGCTTCCTTCAAGGCACAGACCGAGGACTACCTGCTTCACAAGGGTTTTGCTGTCACCCCCCCCCACTTCTAAGTGCCCCCCAATCCCTTTCTACTTTGTATATTTTTATATTTCCTTATCTGTGTGCATGTCATCTATCTCCCCCGAATTGTGAGGGGTTTAAGGACAGAGATAGTTTGATTTTGTCTTTTATCCCCTAGCATCTAGCACAGTATTTGGCAGTAGTGGACATGTAGCAATGTTTATCAAATTGAATTTCAAGGAACATCTCATTCCTCCGATAACCTGGACACTAGAGATGCATTCTTTCAAACCCTTTACTTTGAGTTTTAAGACAGAGGGTCTGGGTAGCTATTACAAGGTACTTGGCAGAACACAAATCCAGAACATTCCCTGCAGTTTGCTGCAGAATTCCCCTTTCCTTCTCTACTTGCTTGAAAACCATTTTTGTCTTTTTTGTAGCTCTCTTGGTCAAACTTTAGACTAACAAGTGTGGCAAATAAGTCATAAGGTGGAAATTTTGTGAGATAATACACACTTCGTTTCATTTTGCCACATATCTTCAGCTATCTCCCTCTGCTTCCCTGCATGCTGGGTACTCTGTCCCCATTAAGGGGATAAAGCTTAGTTGATATCACAGAGAAAAGAAGACAGATGGCGTGATACATGTGGACACGAGTACAAGCATGACAGAATCCAGTTATCTAATGAGATATTCTAACCTCATGTCACTTTACTTTCTCTTTCTAGATAACCCCCTTATTTCCCTGGACTCTTAGGCTCTGTGTCCTTTCTGGGGAAATGAAAGCATAATTTACTTAGCAGACAGAAAAAGACAAATCACAAGGACATAAGGTGGTATCTAATTATCTGAGGTCTGTTCACACCATTTCACCTCAGCATTGAGCTAACTTCCCTGGCCTCTAGGTTCTATGTAATTGTTAGGGGAAAAAAAGTAATTTTCATGTTAAGCTACTTGTAACTTTCATTTCAGTTGAATAATCAGTTTCATTTTTAGAATCTCCTTTGCTATATGTTCTCTAAACTTTGAAATGTATTCTTAAAGTCTAGAGTTTGTGCACTGTATTCTCTTTCCTAACTATTAAAAAGAAGATAAAATTGACCCTTTCCCTTGTCTTCCTGTTAACATCACCAACCACTTTTTTCTTTTCAAGAATTAATTAGAGTGAAAGTTCTCATTGTTGCCTTCTACCTTCTGTTATATTACATTCACAAGAAGGTATGTTGTTCCTGTCAGGGAGGAGCCAGAGGTGGGACCTGTCTCTGGCCAAGTGGAAACTGAAAGTCTTCATGGTACAGATGAAACCTCCCCATCCAGGGATTAAGAAAAGATCTCAGGGAGGATCCAGAAACATCAGAATGGTTGTGTAAAAAGCCAGTTAGTAGTTATGGTCATGGGGAGGGAGGCAATATTTGGATAAGAGTCCAAGCTCAGTGCCAGGATCAAAATGTAGTCTGACGTTCAAGTGAAAGAGCCTCACATTTGTCCAGAGAGAAAGATCCTTAAAATGACTCCCAAGTTTTGCATATGCGTCCACTGGCAAAATGGAGCAACTGTTAAGGAACACAGAAAGTCTAGTGATAAGGAAGATTTCTTGGGAAAGCTTCCTGGAAGCCTGCAGTGTATTGGGTGTTTCAAAGAGGTGAAATAGAAACGAGTGTCTGTTGATATCTTTTTCTTTTCTTGATTCTTTCTCAATTACATTTAGTTGAAGTGACAAGATCATACAGTATCTTTGTCCATCTCTATTTTAGATGTGTAGTATCTGCATATTTTAGCGGTGTTTTTTTAGCTTTTTTTTTTTACATTTAAAATAAGTGTTATTTGGTGCCTTTTGTTTTACGTCAGTCATTTCAAGATAGACACCCCACTACCTACCAAATGAGCCTTCCCTTGGAACAAAGAAAACAAAAGCAATACCAACCTTCATAGTGACTTTTTGACACTGTAGACAACATTTTCACTTGTAGTCCCCCACCTCTCAACCAAAAGAAAAGAGATACCTCTTTAACTCTTCACTGGGACCAAGATTGGCCATAATTAATCAGCATTTAGTTATGTTCTTGGGGGGGAGGGTGGAGAGGGGGAAGAGAGAGACTATTTTAACACATCAAAGTAGTAATATGAATATTTAACATTTATTTAGTGCTTTTACAGTTTGCAAAGTGCTTTATGAATATCATCTCATTTGATTCTCACAATAACTATGGGAGGTAGGTGTTATTATAATCCGTTTTATAGTCGAAGAAACTGAAGCAGAGTTTGCTGTTGACTTACCCAGAGCCACATAGCTAATAAGTTTCTGAGGCCATTTTGAACTCAGGTCTTCTTGACTCTAGGTCCATGGTCCTATCCACTGAGATACCCAGCTGCCTCTTCTAGATGAAGCGAGGACACTGACTCTTTCTTCCCTCTGCCCTTCTCATCCCAGACTATCTTCAGTATTGTAATCATAAGTTTATAAAAGGCAACCATTCATTTCCTTTGTTCCTCCTAAATACATAAGGAAGACAGTACCAGATTTTGTTGCGGTACTTTGTTGTTGTGTTTGTGTGTGTTGTTATATACCGCCATGCTTGGTATGTCTTAGAAGCTTCTAACATTCTAAGAATATCAGAATGAAAAAGGTTGCTGAAATGAGTTGGATTAAACTAAGATATTCTAGGTTAGTTTGTATACAGCTGCTTCTGCAAGGAATATATTACCTAAATACATAGAAAGTGTATGTCTACTTCTCCTGGATTGGCCCGTGTGTTTTTAAAATACCATGTGCCATTGACAAGAAAACAGTAAAACTTCAAGGAAGATAGACACATTTTCTCCAGTGTTAGTCATGGTTCACAACACCATCTCTAAAACATCTTGTCTTTTTTTCCCCCTTGTCCATAGGAGGAGGACCATCAGGCTCGGGTAGAAGAGGCCATCACCCGAATGCTAGTATGTGCCTTGAAAGCTGCAGAAGATCCCACTAATACCAAAGCCTGGCTAAACCCTACGGAAGTAGGGAACCTCTTATTTTTATTGTGTCAATTGCTAACTTATTTGGAAGATAGCTTCAGATGAAGCTTTTCATTTTGTAGGAAAATTGAAGACAAACCTACATCTTTAAAATGTCTTCTTTCCTTGTCCTTAGGTGGAGGGAACTTCTCATGAAATCAATCGTCAGTACTTAAATGGAGCCATTTCTGCCTATTTGGAACACAATAAAGTAGCAGAAGCATTAACACCCACAGAGTTTAAAATAAATGGTGAGCACAGAGTGGAGGCAACCTTGAAAAAGAGAAAATTGGATGTACACACCAGAACAAAGGAGAAAAAATCACCTTGTCATAAATTAGCTACGGGTACAGCAAAGCCTGAGGAGAAGATTCCCTTTGGCCTGGATCTAATTCCAGTATTACCCAGTCTTCAGAATGAATCTTCAGAAAGAGGAATAGCTGAGAGTGATGTTAAAGACCTTGTCAGGGAGAGTGGGGCACATGTGGAGAAATTAAATTGTGCGCAAGAGCAGCCAGTGATGAATAAAGCTGAGATACCACTTGCAAGTAACATTGTTTCTGACAGCACCACGTGCCCTTCTCAACCGTTCATCTCTACAGATGACTTGCTAGATTGTTTGGTGAATCCAAAAGTAATCAGCTTAGTAGCACAACTTTTGTTACAAAAAAGAACTTGTAACTTGTAAGTATAATTTTTTAAAAAATTAAATGATGCTACATTAAAAGGTACTTTTCCTTTCTTAGAATGTATTTTTTAAGTAACTTACCATTTGCTTTTGCCTTATCTTGTCATTTCAGACCATTTCAGTGTTTGGGAGGGTTAATTAAGTGGGTGTGAGAATTAGCAAATGCAACATGCTACAGTATTTCCAGTGAGTTAACTGATGCTCCAGAATCAGTAGTGGAACTGGCATTTTTCTCTATGTTGATTGCTGTTTCCTCCTATCATGGCATTCAGGGTGCTATGCTAAAATAATTTTTTCTGTGCCTCTTCTTAATGAAGTATGTAGTATAGAATTGGTAAGATGGGAAAACTGAGGCAAAGACAATGATAGTCACAGAAAAAATGCACTTCAGAGTTTAATCCCACAGAACCATAGAATTTTAGATCTGGAAGCAGCCATACAGATTTTCCTGTTCTCACCACCTGTAGATTAAAGAACCTGACACCTTAAGAAGTTAAGTGATTTGCTCAAGTCCACCTGGCTGATAAATGATTGAATTTGTGGCAGGACTTGGAGCTCCTGCCTCCTCATCCATTGCTCCATGCAGAAACCATGCAGTCTGCTTAGGATTGACTTGGCGTCTTAGCTGCACTATCCCTGATATTAAAAGAGAGAAGAGCTTCACCCCATCAGTACCTAAGCTTGCACTGTATCTGTACCAAGCAAACACAGCTAAAGAGTAGCTTTCGTGCCCTTCTCAGCCCAAGGACTTGAACCAACCATGGCAGTGTGATCAGAAATTCAGCTCCACTGGGGAGTGGTCCTTCATCTCTGACTTATAGAAATAGAAAGAAACCACCCTTTGCTGAAGAGCCCTCTCAAGAGCTATTTGATCTCAAAAGCTAGTCCCTCACTAATCTCAGTCTCTATTCACCTTTGGATGAGGACCTGTAATCCTTTTGCCCCTCTCCACTTTACTCAGACCTCTTTCTGGTTGCCACGACCCAGCAGTAACAGAAGTTAAGAAAAGCAGCTTCCTAATAATTGGAGCAGCTCAGCAATAGAATGGAGCATGATGGAATGGATGGCCTCATGAGAGCATCAAGTTCACCCCACTGGTTAACACACACACAAAAAAGAATGTCAGGAAACTTTAGAGGGACCTTCTTTGCACATAGGTGCAAGATTGGACGAGATATCTAAATATGGTGGCTTTATGTCTGTTAACATTTCTCACCACATGTAAGTTAAAAACACATATATGGAATGAAAAAATAGTCATGTCGTGTCATCCATGTATCATAATTTGACGCTGGGCTCTTAAACAATTGTGCCCAGCCTTGATTTAGGAACACCTCCAGATACTTCTAATTATCCAAGGGCTGTCATAATTTAAAAAGAAAATGAGTTTTGGGAAAAATAAAATCCTAAATAAAAGAAAATGTGTAGTATATAGGGAAAAGCACTGGACTGGGAGTCTGAAGGACATGGGTTTGGATCCCAGTTCAGCAGCTTGCTCTCTGTGAAACCTTGGGCAAGCCACTCTCTGGGCCTCAGTCTCTTCAAATGTAAAATGATGAAGTTGAAAAAAATTTCCATTAAAATATCTCACTCATTTAGGTAAAAAAACCCTAAAAAACATGGCATAAAAAGTTCCTTCAATATGATTGAAAATATTTATCTAAACCAGAGAGCTAAATGGAGAAACACTGGATGCTTATTGTTTTTCTTTTTTATTGTTTTTCTGTATGAATCTACAAATCTCCATTTTGTAGCACTTCACTTTTTTTAAAGTTTATAATAAATCCCAAACATTACTTTCAAAATAGCCCTTTCCTGTGCTTCCTTCTTATCTCAGGATTTTCAGATGTGTTACAGTGGTCCCCTTTTCTGACACTGCTAGCTCCCCATCCCCCAACACAGGACCTCCTCCCAAGTTTAAAACCAAGAGAAAGAAAAAAAGAAACTCTTAACAATAAATAAGCCTAGTCAAGGGAAACATTCACACAGTGACCATATCCAAAAGTGTGTAGTCTCCAACATGCTTCATCATAGATGTTCTGGAGATATGATTGGTCATTGCATTGATTAGAGTCTTTTCAGAGTGGTTTTTCTTTACAGTGTTGTTGACCTTGTGCAAATTATTCTAGTTTTGGTCACATCAGTTCTAACTATGCAGGAATCTCTGAAATAGTCTCTTTTTTGTCATTTCTTATGATATAATCATATTCCATTACATTATGCTTTTATGTACCTTTGTAATGTACATTACATTAATAAACCAAAGTTTGTTCAATTATTTCCCAGTTATCTAAGGAGAAATCTAAACCACCCCCTTAAGATTTTAGTTCTTTCTTTTCTCCCTGGGTCTTGTAATCCTTCCCCTCTTCCTCCTCCTCCTTTTTCTGTTGCCCATTCAGAATCAAGAAGTTTTTCTTCTTACTATCCTTTACCCTCACCCTTCCCTTTCTTTGTTGAGTATGATATATTTCTGTTTGTATATTCAATCTTTATCAGTGAGATTCATCTGATGCTCACTCTTTCTATCCCTTCCTCATCTATATATTCTTTACACGTACCTTAATTATGAGAAATTGCAAATTCCATTCCCCCCTTCGTCCTTTTTACACTAATGCATGCATGCATACATACATATGTGTATGTATTACCCCTGGAAGTTTTCACATTAAATACAAGGGTAAAGCAAGGGTATGTTGTTTATCCACTGTTGCTTGATATCATACTAGAAGTATGACCTTAAATATAAGACAAGAAAGTAAAGGTACAAGTTAAAGGCAGTAAAGAGCAAACAATTGTTGCTATTTGCAGATTATATTAATGGTTCCCTTGGAGGTAGTGTAGTACAATGGAAAGAAGTTTGAAGACCTGGGTTCATATCCTACTTCTGATGCATATTTGTGTGACCTTGGACAAGTCCTCCCTGAGCCTCCCTGTAAAGCATCAATTATCATTTAGTCAACATTTATTAAGTACCTAGTATGTGCCAGACAACTTTGCTAAACTTTGAGGATACAATAAGGCAAAAGACAGTCCTTGCCCTGAAGGAGCTCACAGTCTAAAGGGGGAAACAGCAAACAAATACGTACAAATAATTTACTGACAGGAAAAATGGGAGGGAAAGAAAGGAAAAGCATTAGAATTATGAGGAGTTGGGAAAAGCTTCCTGTGGAAGGTGAGATTTTAGTTGGGACTTACAAGAAGCCAAGTAGTCAGAGATGAGGAGGGAGAGCATTCCAGGCAGGAGGGACAGCCAGAAAGACTGTAGCAGAGAAATGGAACAGCCAGGATCAAAGAGTATGGAGGGGGTAAGGGGGGAGGGAGGTAAGGTGTAAGAACGCTAGAAAGGTAGGAGGGTGGTAGATTATGAAGAACTTTGAAAGTCAAAGGCTTTTGTATTTGACCTTGGTGGTAATAGGGAGCTTAAGAATTTTATTGAAAGAGAGGAGAGGTGACAAGGTCACACCTGCCTTTAGGAAAATCGTTTTTGTACCGGAATGGAGAGAGTGAGGAGTAACTTGAGTCTAGGCTTGAGGAGATGAGAGCCTGCACCACAGTGGTGGCAGTGTCAGAGGAGAGATGCTGCAAAGGTGAAATCAGCAGGCTTTGGCAGCAGATTGGATTTGAGTGGATAAGAGTAAGAAGCTGAGGATGACTCCCAGGTTTGGAGCTTGGGAAAGGGTTGTGCGCTCTAATAGTAAGGAAGGGAGTAGGGGTGGATGGAGGGGAGGGTTTAAGGGGAAAAGATAATAAAACATCCATATACATATGTATAAGGGGGAGTGGTGGGAGAGGTAAGAGAAGAAACCAGGGTAGAAGAGATGAGAGTGGTCAGTAAAGATGTTGTTTCTCATAAATAAGCTATTTATATAGACTTTTCTATAATAAAACAGTTGTCAAAGTTTCAAAACAGAAATAAAGGATAAACCATCTGATCATAGATTTGGGAAAGAAAGTGTAGCAAAGGCGGGTAGAGAGCTGGTCTTTGAATCTGGAAAACCTAGGTTCAAGTCCAGCACTTAGCACAGTGCCTGACTCAGAGTAGGAGCTTCATAAATGTTTGTTTATTGGAGGACTGAAGCCCTGTGTCCCAAAGCTTAAGGGCTGTGTGACACCTTCCCCTCCCCTCATCCCCAGACAATTCACTTGACCTCACTGCCCCAGGCAACACTCAGATCTCTTTTAAGTTGCAGATCTGCATTTGTTGTCAGGGTTTCCTCACCTGAAGTTCTCTGGGGTTGTTCTGTCCCTTCAGTCATGTTGGACTCTGAGACCTCATTGGGAGTTTTCTTGGCAGAGATACTGGAGTGGTTTGCCATTTCCTTCTCCGGCTCGTTTTACAGATGAGGAAAGTGAGGCAAACAGGGTTAAGTGATGTTGCCCAGGATCAAATAGCTAGTCAGTGTCTGAATCCAGAATTGAACTCATGAAATTCTTCCTGACTTCAGGCCTGGTGTTCTGTCCACTGTACCACCTAACTGCCACATAAAAGTTCCCTACCCTTATGAAATCACAAGTCTGGACACACACAAAAAAATTAAATACGTATTTAAAGCTGGAAGGACCTGTGGAATCCAACCTTATTTTTGACAGGTAAGTATAATTTGAGCCCAGAGAGGTAAAAATAACTTGCCCGTTATCATGTAAGTGATAATTGGCAGAACTGGGATTCAACCCAAGGGTCTTGATTTAAAATTTAATTCTTTTCCTCCACTGCTATGCTATGACCCTACTTAAAATTTAATTTTTTTTTAAATGACAAACCAGTTTTTCTGCAAAGTTTTTGTAAATTTCATCTGGCATCTGACGTCCTCTAAGATGAATCAAGATTTTATTTGCAGTCTGTGATCTTGGACTCACCTTTTTTTTGCAATGCACTCAGATTGGTTAATGGAACTATAAGATTTGCAGTCCAACTCTCCTACTTCTGAATACCATTAAAAAGGAAGATTTGCAGTCCAACTGTCCTACTTCTGAATACCATTAAAAAGGAACCACATTCTGAAGGGCAATATGGATTCCATCCTTGAATTTCCAGTTAAACTT